TTTAGAGATGATGAAAATACTCTATATTTTGATTGGGGTGGTGGTTACATGGGTATACAGAATTGTGAAAACTTGGGGCGCCTGGGTGGCTCAGTTGTTAAGCATCTGCCTTCAGCTCAGGTCATGATCCCAGGGTCCTGGGACTGAGCCCTGCATCGGGCTCCCTGCTCAGCGGGAAGTCTGCTTCTCCTTCTCCCACTCCCCCTTCTTGTGTTCCCTCTCTCGCTGTGTCTCTCTCTGTCACATAAATAAATAAAATCTTAAAAAAAAAAAAAAAAAGAACTGTCAAAACTCAATGAAGTTGATTAAAAAATCACTATGAGGGGTGCCTGGGTGGAGCAGTCGGTTAAGACCGACTCTTGGTTTCGCTCAGGTCATGATCTTGGGGTCCTCAGGCCCCACGCTCAGTACAGAGTTGCTTGAGATTCTCTCTCCCTCTCCCTTACCCCTTCCCCCCAAAATAAATAAATAAATCTTTAAAAAATCACTATGAAATAGTACTATAATAATTCCTTTTACCTGTAAGAAAACAAAGCACCAGGGTTAAAACACCCGTGTTACACTCTTTATAGAAAAATTGTTATCTCTGACTCAAAAGGTATGGGGAAATGCTTTGAGACTTTATATAAATGTATGATATTAGGTTTTGGTTCTCAGACAATCAATACATTTTTATGGACTCACTGCTCCTAGAACACAGCAGCAATTTCAAGAATTGACTATTAAGAGCAGCTAAACAGAGAAAGAGTTGTTTTGGATTTTTTTTTTTTTTTTGCTTATATTCTTCCAAGTAGCCTGAGGTAATTTTACATATACCATTTTATTTTCCTAATGATTTGTATTCATTGAAAGAATTTTGAATAATATTTGTGGTATTGTTATATTCTATTTTCATCCAAAAATATTTCTAGTGATGTAAAAGCGAAGAGTAGAATACGCCAATCAATTAAATCCAAAAGGATTTAAATTAAATTAAATCCAAAAGGATTTGAGGAAACAAAAATATTTTCCCTCCTTGAAAAAAAGAGAAAGAAAGAAAGAAAGAAAGAAAATCGAAGCACTGAGAAACTAATTTATCCAAGAGCCAGGATTCAAACCCTAATAGTTTTACTCTAATGCCCACATTCTTAGCCACTATATCACTCTTCCTCTATAAAAGTAGAATATATACCTATAATATCTTTTATTCCAGATAATGCATATGTATTTATGAACATGTTCTATTTTATAATTAGAAAAAATATATATACTTAAAAAGACAGAGACTACTCAGGACCTCCCTCCAAGATGACATTCAATCTATTAATCAGAACATGTTGGATAACTGTTAATCTTTATGAAGTCATTCAACCGTTTTATCTTTCAGTTCACATTCTTTATCTTGTTCACAAATACAACATGTAAAACTTTATCAAAAGTCTTGCAGAAAATCAGATATACTATATCTACAGCATTTCTTTGATCTACCTATCTAATGGATCTGTATGAAGGACATAAATTTGTCATAAATTCATGCTAGTTCCCAGAGACTACCACTTCCTCTTTTGTGTTCACAAACCATCCTTTTAACAATCTGGGCTAGAATTTTGCCCAGAAGCTACATCAACTAACTCCCAGATTATCCAAAGATTACAAACAGAAGTTCAGCAATCATTTAAGCAAATTCTTCTACTACACTGAACTACAGATCATCACAGAAGGGAGACCCTAAACTCATTCATAATAGTAAGGTCCTTTTATATAATTCCCTTACATATTTTTTTTTTTTTTAAGATTTTATTTATTTATTTGACAGAGAAAGACACAGCGAGAGAGAGCACACAAACGGGGAGTGGGAGAGGGAGAAGCAGACTCCCTGCCGAGCAGGGAGCCCGATGCGGGACTCGATCCCGGGACTCCAGGATCATGACCTGAGCCGAAGGCAGTCGCTTAACCAACTGAGCCACCCAGGCGCCCTCCCTTACATATTCTGCACTTCAGTTTCCTCCTACCAATATTTGCTTGGCCCTCTCCAGAGTGGAAGTAATTCTTCTTGACCAAGAAGACAGAAATAAGAAAAGCTAACAAATTCTACTTTCTATAATCTGTTAATGTTTCCTCCTCTACCCTAGCAGCAAGACTACACCTACTCTAAACATTTAACTAAAAAGCCTTTTTAAAAAATGATTACTGGCATTTTCTGAAGGTCTCAAATAACTCTGAGATTTCTAGTTTCTGAATCTATTCTTACGGGTTCTGTCACTCTTCATCCTTGGTTTCATGTCCTGGTTTTTACCTTCAGTACTTCTAACTGGACAGCTACTTTTGCTGTCACAATAGCCTCTTCAGGAACTTCTTTCTTCCTCACTGACAGTAATTACACTGTCAAATGTGCATTATTTAGTATTTCCTATTTCTCTTGAGAATACATCCCAATTTCTCTAAAGACAGAAGCTATAACCTTGGCATGGGTGCTGGGTGGTTCAGTCGGTTGGGCATCAGACTCTTGATTTCTGCTCAGGTCATGATCTCAGGGTCCTGGGATGGTGCTCAATGGGGAGTCTGCTTGTGATTCTCTCTCCCTCTGCCTCTGCCCCTCCCCCTGCTTGCATACATGCTCTCTCTCAAATAAATCTTCAAAAAAAAAAAAAAAGCAGCTATAACCTTGGCATAACTACCCTGACATTGCTTAAAATTTGTCTAAAACTTGGTCAAAAACTCCTTTTAGAAGTGACTTCCCTCCCAAAATCAGTTTTGTTTTTTTTTTTTAAAGATTTTATTTATTTATTTGACAGATAGAGAGCACAAGTAGGCAGAGAGGCAGGCAGAGGGAGAGGAAGAAGCAGACTCACTGCTGAGCAGGGAGCCCGACGCGGGGCTTGATCCCAGGACTCCAGGATCATGACCCGAGCCGAAGGCAGCCGCTTAACCGACTGAGCCACCCAGGCGCCCCAGCCCAAAATCAGTTTTATTATTTTATAGTCACATCTCCTCTTTCACTGAAACTGTATTGCCCAACTTGATCATCTATCTCATTGTTTGTAATAAGAACTAACATTTCCTGGGGATGTACTATGTGACAAGCACTACATTAAAAGACTTCCCATATATTCTCAGATTTAATCCTTGTGAACCTAATGAGGAAATACCATCATTATCTAATTTTACTAGTAAGGTGGCAAAGATTTAAGTAAGCTTGACTTAGGCCGACAGTTACTAAATAATAGAGCTACACTCTGAGCCCAAATCTGAGTTAAAAAACAAACAAAACAAAACAAACCCCAAGTTTTTTCTACTATACCTCCTAGCCATTCACACGTAGGCTAACTTTAAAGAGAGTGAGAGTGAGATGTCTCAGTTTAAGGTGACTTATAAAATGCAGCGATTTTAAAAAATAAATGTATCAGATTTTGTATATCAAATATCAGAATCATTTCAAATTAATTACCTTGAAAAGCTTTAAAGTTTGGGAAGTTTTCTTACAGAACAGTTTCTACAACTTTTTATTACTCTTTTAAATATCTTCAATACTAGCAAATATTCATTTTTGAGAATTTTTTTAAGTGGGAAGCAAAGCAAGGTTTATTGAGCGATAGTAAAGTTTATTAAATGATAGAGTACAAAGCTCCCAAAGAGGAAGGGGACCTGAGAGGGTTGCCCGAGAATAATTTCTATTTTGGGAACAGCTTGGTCATTTGGAACCAAGTCTTATAAATCAGAAACAGTGATTTAGGGTGATATAATATCTTAGTACATGAGACCATGGCTTTGGAGTACGATAGTCATAAATTTGAGTTAGAGCCCTACCACCCTAACTTTTACTAAATTATTTAAATTCTCTGAACCCTACTTCTCTCATCTGAAAAGCAAAAAAGGGAATCACTTTTTGGCCTTCTGGCTAAGATCAAGTGAAAAACAAGAAAGGTATCGTCTATCTCACAACCATTGTGAAGATTAAGTAAATCTGGCTATATGTATGTTATATATATTAAAAATACACATGTGGGGCGCCTGGGTGGCTCAGTCGTTAAGCGTCTGCCTTCGGCTCAGGTCATGGTCCCAGGGTCCTGGGATCGAGCCCCACATCGGGCTCCCTGCACCATGGGAAGCCTGCTTCTCCCACTCCCACTCCCCCTGCTTGTGTTCCCTCTCTCGCTGTGTCTCTCTCTGTCAAATAAATAAAATCTTTAAAAAAAAAAAAATACA